CGTGATCCCAGGGTCCTGGGATCGAGCCCTGCATGGGGCTCCCTGCACCGCGGGGAAGCCTGCTTCTCCCTCTCCCCCTCCCCCTGCTTGTGTTCCCTCTCTCGCTATGTCTCTCTCTGTCAAATAAATAAATAAAAAATCTTTAAACAAAAAAAAAAACAACAACAAAACAAACTCTTAAATATAGAGAACAAACTGGTGGTTGCCAGAAGGGAGGGGATTAGGGGATGGGTGAAATAGGTGAAGGGGATTAAGAGATCCAAACTTTCAGTTATAAAATAAGTAAGTCCTGGAGATAAAAAGTACAGCATAGAAAATACAGTCAGTAACATTGCAGTAACTTTGTATGGTGTATCTATGTCCCTTTTTAAATTATCCTTTGTTTAATTCATAAATCCCATATATTTTAAAAAATTCTTTAATGAATAGAGAAAAACATATTCTTCCTCTTGACTTTCATAACTTTGTCACCATTCCTACCATATTGTAAAAAATCTTCCCTTCATCACAAAAAGTATGATATTTACTCCGTTATTTAAGGAAATTAACATATAATAAGTTTCTCTGCCATAAAATAAATTAGACATATATTTTGTGTTTCCTAAAGCACTGGAAAAGAAAAGCTTGCAAATTCTTCTCTATGTTCTACTCAGGTATGTAGTCTGTCCAAAATCCTCAGAAAGGTGATTTAAAACACAGGAAACAATAGATGTTGGCAAGAATGTGGAGAAAGGGGAACCCTCTTACACTGTTGGTGGGAATTCAAACTGGTGCAGGCACTCCAGAAAACAGTATGAAGTTTCTTCAGAAAGTTAAAAATAGAACTACCCTATGATCCAGCAATTGCACTACTAGGTATTTACCCAGGGATACAAAAATACTGATTCAATAGAACACATGCACCTACTGTTTATAGCAGCATTATCAACAATAGCCAAATTATGGAAAGAGCCCAAATGTCCATCAGGTGATGAATGGATAAAGACGTGTTATATATGTACAATGGAATATTACTCAGCCATAAAAAAGAATAAAATCTTGCCATTTGCAATGACGTGGAAGGAGTATTATGCTAAGTGAAATAAGTCAGTCAGAGAAAGACAACCATATGATTTCATTAATATGTGGGATTTAAGAAACAAAACAGATGAACATAAGAGGAAAAAAAAAAGAAAAAGCAAACCATACAACAGACTTTTAAATATAGAGAAAAAACTGAGGGTTGTTGGAGGGGAGGTGAGCAGGGGGATGGGTTAAATGGGTGTTGAGTATTAAGGAAGGCGCTTGTTGTGATGAGCACTGGGTGTTATATGTAAGTGATGAATCACTAAATTCCCCTGGAAATTAATATTGCACTATTTGTTAACTAACTGGAATTCAAATAAAAACTTGAAACAGGGATACCTGGGTGGCTCAGTCAGTTAAGCATCTGCCTTCTGCTCAGGTCATGATCCTGGAATCCCGGGACTGAGCCCCATATCAGGCTCCCCACTCAGCGGGGAGTTTACTTCTCCCTCTGCCCTTCACCCTGCTCATGCTCTCTCTCTCGTTCTCACAGTCCCTCATAAATAAATAAATAAATTAATTAATTAATTAAAAAAAAAACCTTGAAACAACAAAAAAATAGTTGTTTACACCCAAAGAAAGTGAAAATGCTAATTCCAAAAGATAAATGCACCCTACGTTTACTGCAGCATTATTTACAATGGCCAAGATATGGAAGCAACCCAAGTGTCCATCCATAGATGAATGGATAAAGAAGATGTGGTATATATACACAATGGAATATTACTCAGCTGTAAAAAGAATGAGACCTTGCCATCTGCAACAACGTGAATGGACCTACAGAGTATTATACTAATTAAATCAAAGACAAATACCATATGATTTCACTTATATGTGGAATCTATAAAACAAATGAATAAACAAATAAACAAATAGATTGTTAAATACAGAGAACAAATGGGTGGTTGCCAGAGGGGAGATGGATAAAATAGATGAAGGGGATTAAAAGGTACAAACTTCCAGTTATAAAGTAAGTCCTGGAGATGAAGTGTACAGCATAGGGAATGTAGTCAATAATTTTGTAATAACATTGTTCAGTGACAGATGGTAACTACACTTACCATGGTGAGCACTGAGTAATGTATAGAATTGTTGAGTCAATATGTTGTGCACCTGAAACTAATATAATTAGTATGTCAATTTTGCTTAAAAAAAGGAGTTGTTTGCCATCCTGTGTAAATTTGCTTAAAATTACTTTTTAAATGTTCCTAAATATTGATTTAAAAAGTCATTGATTTCCCAAAAGTACAATTTACCCTTTTGGAAGTTTTAAACCAATCTCCAAACTTGTAAAATTATTTATTCTACGTTACAGAAGGCTTATTGTTTATGCAAGAGATGCCAACATCTGGTATTTCCCTTACTAGTTCTAAAACAAAGAAACTAATTTACTCTGATAACTGAGACAGTCATGACATATATCCTCATTCATCTCTTCTCTTGCATGTCTTTCTAAAGAACTTAATATTTTCTTAATTAAATAAAATACAAAGGCTCCAAACTTTTGTTGAGAAATTTAATGCAAACATTAATCATTTTTGGTTGCCAAACGGGAAATCTTTTAAAATTGACTTTGACTTTTGAGGGTGAAAGTACTTGGAGTTTTTTTTTTTTAAGTTTCATAGTAATTATATCCTCAGTATTTGTACATTGATTTAGGTCTTTCTCAGATTTCCAGTGGTAGCTAGATTATCTAACTACTGACCATGATCCTTTGGAGCCAAGTGAGATACATTAACTTTCTTGAGGCTCCAAGAAACCATTTGCTAGGTCATACTTATGGGAAGTAATGCCCTAAAACATGTAAGAAACAATTAATTTCACATGCATAAGTATTAGTCTTTCAGGGGTTATTGCAATCATTTGATTTAATGTAGGAGCAGGACCTTGTGGAATAGTCTTGGTCTTGAAGCAACATCCCATTAATTTATTTAAAAAATGTTTCTATACAAATAGACTTTCATTTGAGTTTGCCAATTCTTAGAAGCTTTGTCTAAGATAAACTCATCAATCAATTCTTGAACAATAATGAAAACGAAAGCATGAGAAGTATAAAGTATTGATAACACCTTAATGGTATAAGCACTAGTCTATGTCACCAGTAACACTACATTAGAAGCAGCAATCTATGTAACTAATCAGTTCTCAATTATTTCTTCATGGGATGAAATTTAATAAAAATGGCTTATTCTGTAATTCATTTCTCTTGTGAAATTCTGAGAAGAGAATTGAAAAGCAAACAAATGGAGGGATAATTCAACAACTAATCATGGAATGCTAACTAAACTCTGGGTATTACTGTAGGTGCTGGGAACACATGTATCATCTATATTCAGTCATTTATTGATACATTTCTGACTAGTCCCTTAAATTAGGCCATTTATAGGTAAGATGGTATTCACACCATTCCTAAATATTCCCTTAAAGACACAGTATTCTTAGTTATTTTTCCCCTGTGCTGAAAATATCTTACACATGTAACATTTTATTTTTTCCCCTTAACCATAGATACAACCAGAAAGGCACCAGTATGTATGACATTTTCTGTACAGAAAAGTCTCACCAAAATAACCTTTAATATGATGGTTTACAATCACAAAGCAACATTCTTTTTTTTTTTTTTTAAGATTTATTTATTTTAGAGAGAGAGAAAGAGAGTGGGGGGGATGGGCAGAAGGAGAGGGAGAGAGAAACTTAAGCACTGAGCGCAGAGCCCAAGGCAGGGCTCTATCCCAGGATCCTGAGATCAGGACCTGAGCTGAAACCAAGAGTCGGACACTCAACTTACTGCACCACTCAGGCACCCCACAAAGCAATGTTCTTAATTTTCTTCTCCCTGGGTACATTTGAAGTTTGTACAGTGACTTTTTTGAAAAGCTAAAAAAACAAAAAACAGAAAACAAAACAAAAAACTTGTGTTGAACAGTCCATTCTTAAGTTTACCATGACAATTGATTGTATTGTTTTACTTGTATTGTTTACTAATTTTTACTAATTATCTTGTGCTAGGAAATGTTTTTAATGCCTTTTCACCAATTTAAGCTGTTCAGTTGTTTTGCTCCCCCTTCGAAGCCTTAATTATTAGTCTATTAAATGTAGTTAAAAATGAAAAGTACAAGATTGGAAAACTACCGAGGTGTTTGTGTTCAAATAGAGATTATCTTTCCTTTATCTTTTCCCCCTTTTTACCAACTAAATTTAGAGTTTTTGACTATTTTGCAGTGTCCTAATGTATGCTTTAACTGTCCTTGGACATATTTTAATTAGTCCTTTATTTATACTGTCTGACTTCTTGAAAATAGTAATTATTTACTATTATTTACTATTATTAAAATACTTGAATAATTTCCCAAAATGTATTAAATACTTATACTTGAAGATTTTTACCTACTAGAAATCTTTCGTGATTTATACTGAATCAAAGCATTCGTCAAGGTTTTAAGTTAACACTAACACTTCAAGATTATAAATTTAAATAAAAACTGGTAATGGGTAAAAAGGAGTAGAGAGTACGTATGGTAAATAATTACCAAAGTAACTATTTTAAATTTATTTGTTTGCATTGTTTTCATATATTTTAATGATCACAAGGGTATAAAGCAAGTGGGCTCAGAAAATATGAAAAATTATATCCCATTAGTTTTTAGTTTTACTTTTGTCAATTTAAGTAAAGAATGTATCTTGAATGTTTTTTTCAGAATTTTGATACATATATCAATATAATGTGCATTTTAATTTTTCTAGCAGACTTAAGCTTTTATATGCTATAAATATTTTTTCTCAAGCTCATATAACTCATACTGTTTTAAGCAAGGAAGTTAATCACAACATTGTTTATAGATGTAGAAAACATTGAAAAACATAAATCTTATTCAATAATGTGCTACTTAATCTATAGTACATCCATATAATGGAATACTGTGCAGTCACTAAAATGATGATACAGATCGATATTTATTGACATAAAAAGATTATGTTTTAGTTTACAATTTAACAAAACACAGTACATATAGTATGTTTTCTGTTTGTTTGTAAAATATTGTGTGTATACATAGGAGAAAGGGCATGGAAGTATATGTATGCATTGAAAACACTAATAGTGGTTATCTCTGTCCTGTGGAAATTTTACTTCTCTATAAATGTCTGCATTGTGTACATTTTTTAAATGACCATGTATTATGTATATGATCAACAAAAACAGTGATTTCCATTTGAAAATACTTGATAATGAATATAAATGTAATTTCTGGATAAACAGTTACACAGAAACAGATTTTTCCCATTATTTTATGGGCACATAGCTAACAAAAGTGTTAATAAAATTATATATTTATATTGCATTATGTATGTAACCTAAGATTTCTATATAACATAATAAAAGCCAATTAAGAATAGAGACAAAACATTTTCTTACGTTGGATCTGTGATATGAGTGAATCCTATTTTTAAAAAGTAATTATTTAAGTTTTACACAAATTAAGTAATAATTTCTCTACTTCCAAAATGGATTTGAACACCCACATATTAAATGAAAGGCAATCTAAAGAAAACATAAAAGTAAGTATAATATGGATGGAAGGTAGATGGGTGGGGAAAAGAGGGGACTACAAGTAAAATATGGAAAATCCGTAATCAAGAAATTACAGGCTAAATAATGTAACTGCAATATAGAACAGAACATTTTGTCACAACTTCCAAGCAGCCAGACATAAAGAGAACCATACTGGATTAATAGCTCTCATATAATAGACGGAGGCATATGATTTAATCAAGAGAGGCAAGCTTTTCCTTACTTTTGATACATATGTGAATATTATCACAGGGATATATTAAAAAATTTACAAGAGATAATGACAAGTTTAATATTGAAGATATTCTTCAATGTAGTTTTTCAACATCACTGTATGGATTATTTACCCTTATATTGACACTTTATAGAGGCGGAGGTAAAATTTTAAAATTATCTATAGGTAAAGGCAATTCAGTGCACTTATTCATCTTTTTCATTATTTTAACATGACCCATCTATACTACTAAAGAATTTAAAAAAATGAGTGGCAAGAATGCTCCTTAGACATCCTCATATATTAAATCTCTCAGATTTTTAAGGTGAAACTCATTTTAATAATGCTTTAAGTGTTAGTTTCCTAAGGTACTGATTGAGAAAACACCAATATGTTTATTTCTCTGGGCATGAAGTTAAAGAAAACTCCCGACACTTAGTCAAAGCCACTGCCAACTCTGTGGTATGCCCACAATATATCAGAAAAGGGGAAAAAAAAGTATAAATAAAGAAACTCACATCTCTTTAAAATAACATTCACTTTAAATAATAAGGTAAAATTATGCACAAATGTTAAGTGGATCACATACATTTTCGCCTGCTCTACTGATTTCTCAAAAAGAAAGTCAGAAGTTTTATGTGTGATAGATTCAGAAATAATGTCCATCTTGAGAATATTTTCACAGAAGCAATTACATTAGTATTATAACTGGAATAAGGAAGGAACCTATGTTCAACCAATTACCTTACCTGGACTGGTTTAGGAAAAAAAACAGTATGTGGAGGGATGAATTTTATTCTACATATTTCTAAGGATATTTTATCAAAAAATAGTACAAAATGACAGTTTTACAATTAGAAATTATGTTCTTCACTAAAATGAACAAGGTTTTCTAGTTTTACTTTTTTTTTTTTCAAAAGAAAATATTCACTTAAAAAAAAATAACCTGGAATAAAATAACCTCTTATCACAAAGTAGCCCAAACTAAGTAGGCACCAGCTTAAGGCTGAAACAAATTGAGCATTCTTATTCTCACCACCTGCGCCTGGCCTGGCCCAGGGTAACATGCAGGGGCTTGGAGCCCACTGTGCGACCATTCATCTCATCCACTGCTTTGGTAGCATCTTCAAAAGAGGAGAAGCAGACAACACCAAACCCTTTGCCTTGCCCTACTTCCACCATCACTTTGGCCCGGCTAATTGATCCAAAGGAAGAAAATTCCTCCTTCAGTTTTTCATCATCGATGGTCTCATCCAGGTTCTTAATATAGATAGGCACCCCCGGAGGCCGACTTTTTTCTTTTAATCTCAGCCGTTCAAATCTTCGTCTTAACTCAGCCAATCGTTCAATTTTCTTCTGTGCTCGCCCTACATATAGAACTTTCCCATTGATGGATTTTCCATGCAGGTCTAATACAGCTTTTTGGGCAGCCTCGTGTGTCTCGTACCTCACAAATCCAAAGCCCTTAGATTTCCCACTGGCATCTCTTATTACCTTAACACTCTCAGTTGGCCCATATCCACTAAAGATTTCCTTCAGTTTTTCGTCATCCATGTCATCTCCAAAGTTTTTAACAAAAACATTGGTGAAAGTTGCTCTATCCCTGGTTCTGACTTCAGCTGCCCGCTCTTCTGGGAATTTGAATCTGCCAACATACACCTGGCGGTTATTAAGCCGCACTCCATTCATGTGCCAGATGGCTCTGTTGGCAGCAGCCAGGCTGTCAAAGTGCACATAGGCATAACCCTTAGAGCCATTGTCATCACATACGACTTTGCATGAGAGAATGTTCCCAAAAGCAGAAAATAAATAAAAAAGGGCCCTATTGTCTATGGATTTATCCAGGTTTTTGATGAATATATTTCCAACTCCAGACTTTCTTAAGCGATCATCTGGCTGAGACCACATGAGGCGGAAAGGTTTGCCATTAATCAAATCAAAATTCATGGTATTCAGGGCCCACTCAGCATCTGCAGGAAAGCGGAAGTTAACATAGCCATAGCCCAGGGGGCTGCGGGTGACAGGGTCACGGCAGATTCGGGTGAAGCGCAGAGGGCCAGCAGGCCTGAACTTTTTATAAAGCATGTCCTCCGTGACATCTGGGTCCAAGTCACCCACGTACAGGGCAGCCTTTAGGTACTTCTTTTTCTTGCCAGCAGGATTAGGCTCTCCACTCCCCATCTTTCTGAGTACAGGGAGGTGGCTCTCTTGGGAGAGAAAAGAAGGCTGATTTCTCTAAGCTATGGGCCAAGCAGCTGTTCACAAACAGAAGAAAGCCAAGGAGAAGGAAGCTAAAAGCAGACTCAGAATCACTGTTGAGGCTGAGAAAATGAAGTTCAGAAACAGCTGGTCAGCAGGTTCAGAACAAACACATCAGACAAAAATGCATCCCAATAACGAATCTGTTCTAAGGGGACTTATAATTTCCACCCATTAAGATTTAAAATCTGTTTCAAAAGCCAGTAGTAAGAAAGAAATTTCCTGTTCCCCATTTAATTTTAAGAAATCATCAGGCAGCTGGCTGTCACCCCACATCCAGCATTGCAGACAGAGGCCTCGAGACCTGTTTTCTGCATAAACATAGGCCTAGAGCTCCTGTTGGCTTAAAATTCTATTAACATGGGCAGGGGCGAAACGTGTATTCCTCCGCCGGCTGCCTGGCCGGTCTCAGGCGGGCTCTCAGCTAACTAAGGCCGCTAAACACACTCAGCGTCAGCAAAAGGGCAGACTAAACACTTGGTGCGCTGGGGCCGGAAGGCAGGCTGCAGACGGCGGATCAGATCGCACAGAAAGACAGACAGACAGACACACGCGCTGGAGACGGGAGACCGCCCAGATACCCCTGATGCCCACCGGGTACGGACCGAGTGACGCGCGGTAATTTCAGCAGTCTGAGACTCGCGGCAGGTCCGGAGGGACTGACTGGCAGACACGCACTGGGTCAGCTCAGGCGGGAGGCGGTTCCGGACAGATGCGGGGCGGAGTCAGAGGAGAAGGGCAGATGCGCAGCGGGCGGGCAGAGCAGGGACCATGGACGTGGATTGCTCTCCGCAGGACAGACCGACCCAAGGACGAAAACCATTTAGCTGTGGTAGGGCGGGCGGGGCGTGAGGAAACCCGGAACCCTGCTAAGTAACTTCCCGCTTCCTCTGTGCCAAGATTTAAAAAAAAAAAAAAAAAAAAAGCTTTTTCAATATTTTTCTTTAAGATTTTATGTTTTTATTTATTATCTTAAAATACTAATTTTAGGCTGCTGATCCCAAAATCAAAGCAGGAGGTGATCACCTAGGCAGAAGGAACTCTCATACTTTTTTTAATAAAAAAATAATTCCCAATACTATTTCTGCTTAGGAAATAAGATAAAGGGTTGCATACTTTCCTGAGTTAATTGGAAAGTCAGAATTGACAGCTATACTGGATTCCCATTACAGTGCTAAATGGTCACAGGGTCAAATAAAACACAGGGCCATGTTGTGTTTGGCCTTTATCCTTACTCCATTAAACTCCAGCATAATGATCACATTATCCCCAGGTAGTAGGCAGAATTCTTTTCACTGCTCCAGTAATACTAAGATTTTAATGACTGGAGAACCATAAAATGGCTTTTTATGATACCTTGTGTCACAAAACGTTGAAAATGTGCTGTCTTCATAATCACATACTACAAAATCTTACTGAAAGAGATAAAAGCTGCAGAATCAATACAAAATGTATGATTAATGTTCACAGATGAAATAAATATGTAAAAATATAGTCACTTTATGCATTAATTACTGATTATTTTTTAAGTTTTTATTTAAATTCCAGTTGGTCAACACAGTGTAATATTAGGTTCAGGTGTACAATATAGTGAGTGATTCAACACTTCCATACAGCACCTGGTGCTCATCACAAGTGCACTCTTTAATCCCCATCACCAATTTAACCCACCCCCCACTCACCTCCCCTCTGGTAATCATCAGTTTGTTCTCTATGGTTAAGAATCTATTTCTTGGTTTGCCTCCCATTCTTTTCCTTTCCCCCTTTGCTCATTTGTTTTGTTTCTTAAATTCCACATATGAGTGAAATCATATGGTATTTGTCTTTTTCTGACTGACTTATTTCCCTTAGCATAATATTCTCTAGCACCATCCATGTCTTTGCAAATAGCAAGATTTCATTCTTTCTTATGGCGGAGTTATAGTCCATTGTATATATACAATCTTGTATACAATATATATAATATTCATATATATATATACCACCTCTTCTTTATCCATTCATCAGTTGATGGACACGGGTTATTTCCATAATTTGGCTATTGTAGATAATGCTGCTATAAACTTCGAGGTGCATGTATCCATTTGAATCACTATTTTTGTATTCTTTGGGTAGATACCTAGTAGTACAATTGCTGAATCATAGGGTAGTTCTATATTTAACTTTTTGAGGATCCTGCATACTGTTTTCCAGAGTTTCTGCACCAGTGTGCATTTCCACCAACAATGCAAGAGGGTTCCTCTTTCTGCACATTTTCACCAACACCTGTTGTTTCCTGTATTGTTGCTTTTAGCCATTCTGACAAGTGTGAGTTCATACCGCAGTGTAGTTTTGACTTGTATTTCCCTGATGATCAAGGATGTGAGCATTTTCTCATGTGTCTGTTGGCCATCTGTATGTCATCTTTGGAAAAGTTTCTATTCATGTTTCTGCCCATTTTTAAATTTGATTATTCATTTTTGGGGTTTTGAGTTGTACAAGTTCTTTATATATTTTAGATACTAACCCTTTATCAGATATGTCATTTGCAAATATCTTCTCACATTCCAAAGGTTGCCTTTTAGTTTTGTTGATTGTTTCCTTCACTGTACAGAATCTTTTTATCTTGATGAAGTCCCAATTGCTTATTTTTGCTTTATTTCCTTTGTCTCAGGAGACATATCTAAAATGAATTTGCTATGGCCTATGTCAAAGAGGTTACTGCCTGTGTTCTCCTTTAGGATTTTTATGATTTCAGGTTTCACATTTAGGTCTTTGATCCATTTTGAATTTATTTTTGTGTATGGTGTAAGAAAATGGTCCAATTTCATTTTTTGCACGTTGCTGTCCAGTTTTCCTGCTGTTATTTGTTGAAGAGACTGTCTTTTTTCTATTGGATATTCTTTCCTGCTTTGCTGAAGATTAATTGACCATATAGTTGTGGGTTCATTTCTGGGTTTTCTATTATGTTTCATTGATCTGTGTGTCTATTTTTTGTGCCAGTACCATATTGTTTTGATCACTATAGCTTTGTAATGTAACTTGAAGTCCAGAATTGTGATGTCTCCAGACTTGCTTTTCTTTTTCAAGATTGCTTTGGCTATTTGGGGTCTTTTGTGGTTCCATACAAATTTGGGGATTGCTTATACTAGCACTATGAAAAATGCTGATGGTATTTGATAGGGATTTCATTAAATGTGAACATTGCTTTGGATAGTATAGACATTTTAACAATATTTGTTCTTCCAATCCATGAGCATGAAATGTCTTTAATTATGAATTTCAACATGAGTTTTCAACTTTAAACCATGGCAAGAAACAATGTTATAAGCTTAGACTCAACTCAGGTTTCCCACTATATCTCTCTCCTTAAAGTTTGTGAGAAATTGTTTTGGAAAGGAGTGTTTCCCTCTCTTTGGAAAATCATCAATGTCTATAACACACAGCTCCTCATCTAGTCCCTTCCACAACCCCTCCCTTCTAAAAGAAAATCCAAACAAAACTTATATCAATACTATTATGCTGGAAAAGATCCTGGCAATAACAAAGAATGCAAGTGAAGGACATCACCCCAAAGGATGTTGTTTTAAGAAGAAATTATTATAATAACAGGCTAAATTCATGTGGTGCTTCATTTTTTACATCTTACATTTTCTATTAGACTGTGTAGCTGACTAAAGATAACAATTTACCCTCATTATTTACTCAAATATTTAGTAATTTTCTTTATTGAGCTCTTGTGCTTGCTTTATAGGATTCTTGCTTAGGTAGGACATGGAGACCATGTGAGAAAAGGCAAATACAAACAAAAAATATAATAGACTAATAAAAACTAGTATTACAGTATAACCACAGTGACCAACATGTAGAAACACTTGTGAACACCTGCTTAGCTTATTGTATTTTGAAAAAAAAAAAAAAAACACCTTTCCTCGTGACTTTAGTTAACAATGGGCTACAATTTTGGACTGTTTTTATTTTTCTTATTTAAAAATATTATTTTACTGCAAATATTATATTAAAATAACACAAATCCAAGCGAATTCCCACAATATTATCACTGAGTCAAATCAATATTTTATTTTTATGTAATCGTCTAAATGTTTTCCATATTCCAATTCATTTGTGCATATTTTCTCTAAGATTATAGATATGTTTGGGTTGTTAAAAATAATTATTTTCAAGAAAAACTCCTTTCTACACTTATTTCCTATTTTGGGGTCATTAAAGTATAGACATTCTAAACTATAGTGAACTTTTTATTGGGTCAAAAATCAGAAATCTAGAACTGCTTTGAAATGAGTGAATTTTAGTAGTGTTCCCTCTGCTAAGTGGAAGTTTATGGGGAAAAAAAAAGTTTTTACCTGTAATTTGTTTAATCCTTTTAAAATTTAAATTGAGAAGAATCTATAAAACGAAAATTAGATATAGAACATTTCTCTGTCATTATTATTATATATTAAAGGGAAGTTTATAGCCTATTATAAATATGATTCATATATGAAATCCATTAAAAATCCCCCTCCAGATTCCTAAGGCAATTGGTTGAAGCACATCTGAGTCTTTCCAAATTTGAGAAATGTTTTGCATGAGAAAAGAATCCTGAACAACTGGCATTCTAAGTGTATCTCATCACATGTTGTTATTTACAGTTAATAGCAAAGTGTCAGCATGCGTGGAAGAAAAGGAAAGTTGGGAATTTATTTTTCAGCTTTGTCTTAACAGGCACTTCATTCTGTGTTTCCAGTTAAAAGTATCAGCAGTACATATTGCTGAGACTTCACGATGAAACTAAATTTGCTGCTTTCTTGAGTGCAATCTGGGATGACTGAAAAAAATATTATAAAGTTAAAACTTCATTACCTAGTATTTGACTAATATTTTTTTAGATACAGGAAAATTTCAAGAAAACAATTTGACGTTGAGAATGCGATACAAACAGGCATTTTTATAGTAGGTTTTGGAGCCAGTAGTGATTCTTCTTTTCTATTTCCAAAAATTTTATCCTGATAATCATGAAGGACATTGATAAGATTATCAAAGAATTATTAATTTGTGTTTATTAGAATATATTTACTAAAGTGAGAAAGTGGCCAAAACTAGAAAAGTTTCAAAAGAGTTTACAATGGAACAGACTTAATTACTCAGCCATCAAAAATAATGAAATATTGCCATTTACAATGATGTGGATGGAGCTAGAATGTATTATGCTAAGCAAAATAAGTCAGATAAAGACAAATACCATGTGATTTCACTCATATGTGGAACTTAAGAAACAAAGCAGATGAACATATGGGAGGGGAGGAAAGACAGAGTTTAACAAACCGTAAAAAACTCTTAGAGAACAAATTCAGGGTTGATGAAGGGAAGTAGGTGGGGGAATGGGCTAAATGGATGATGGGTATTGAGGGCACTTGTTATGATGAGCACTGGGTGTTGTATTTAAGTGATGAATCACTGAATTCTACTCCTGAAACTAGTATTGCACTGCATGTTAACTAACTAGAATTTAAATAAAAATTTGAAAAAAAAAAGAATGAGGCATATTTGTATGTGCTGAATAGAAAGTTTTTGAGAATACTTTATTTAATGAAGAATGCAAAGTACTGAAAAAAGAATTAATGCTAAATTGTTAATAATTCAGAATGTCTTATTCTTCAATATTTAACCAAAATTTCAGTATTTTTAAATTATAGAACTATTTTAGATATTCAAGGCAGTAACTATAATTCATACATTTATAACCCTAGGGGATTTGTGGAAAATTAAGACAAATGTATTAGTTTAATATATTTTCTTCTTTTCATTTGTAACATGAACTAAATCT